ATCTCTTCTTTGGCCTGAATGGTAGTAATGTGGGAGATCAAGTCTAATACGTTGTTAACCTGGACGCCGTTTTTTCAGTGTGTTTTAATTATCAATAAACATTGGTTTAAAGAAAAGAACAAAATATCTGAAAAGACATTTAAAGACATATAATGCAGGTTTTCTTCCCTACCAAGACTCACACTCCAAAATAGTTGCACTTTGGGTGGGTTGAAACATCAACTGTGGCCAGAGCTGTGAGAATCCCACCAACACGGCAGCCAGCAGATTCTGAGCCCCCAGTGAGGGCAGGCAGGGCGAAGATTCAGCTGGAAGCCCCCACCTTCCCTCGGCTCTGTTGGGCCGAGTGACTAATGCAGGAGAGGTCACCTCTCAGAATTCCTAGTCTGTGCTGCTGGAAATCAGAACAAGTCCTCAGAAAAGCCAGCTAAGATCTGGACTCTGTCATCCTGGCTCTACAGCCTTGTATGACTATGGCCTGCTGTGTGATAGGGTTTGTAGGGGGATGAGAGAGGAGGTTGTAGATAAAACAACACATCAAATAAACCTCACAAATGGAGCAGAGTTGAAAAGGCCAAAAAGCTAACACTGTGCTCTAACAGCGTCCTGTTACTAACTGCTTTACTGCCAGTATCTGCTTTCACGAGACTCCGCATCCCAAAGCTATGTAACTGATAACGTCCTGGTACTGACTGTCAGTGTTTGCTTTCCTAAAACTACATTTCAAAAACAATTAACTACATTTCAAAAACAATTAACAATAACCTGAGAATGACTACTTTTTAAAAAATTAATCAATATTTTTTATTGTGATATTGTGGGGTACGGTTAAGGGTTAGGTATACAAATATGCTTCGTTCAGGCACCCTTGTTGATAAGAGGTGTCTCCCCAGAGAATGACTAATTTAATGCAGACATCTGTACTTCAAGGCCGTCAATCTGCCTCAACAGTGCCGACGTCTGCATTTGAAGGCCAGACAACTGACAACTCAAACTCCCAAAATGGATTCTTGCCATCCAATCCCAAACTCCCAGAAACTGCTTCGATAAGCAGGGGTTTTATAAGTGGCCTACAAGAGAATAAAGGGGGCTGGTTATCACTCTACAGAGCCAGCCACCGCCCCCCTCTTCTTTTCTTTTCTTTTCTTTTTTTTTTTTTTTT